TTTCACTTGGAGTAATTTAGGGATGGATAACCTTTTAGAAAAATTTCCAAAAAAACGTGTAAGTGAGGATAAAACATGTTAAAAAGTATAATGTTTGTTTGTGGGTTAGTCATTGATTTTAAAAGCAGACGAACATCTCATAAAGGACTATCCATGAAAGATTTTATCCAATGCAAGGTTCTAACCAACAAGAAGTTTTGCAATATGTCATTATATGAAGTGTTGTGAAGTAAAACCATTGACATATCGAATCAAAGTGGTGTCGCTACTACTACTATTAGAGGAAATGAGACATTATATGTCTTTATGTTTAAAAAATATAAAAAAATAAATAAATAAATAAGAAAAGAGTATAAAAAAATAAAGAGTGGAAAAAAAAGTAACCAAATACTTTTATTTAAAAAAATTGTGTAAATAAAATAACAAATATACTATTATTAAAGAGTAAAAATGTCATATTAATTATGTACACAAAAATGAAATATTATTTTTATATTATTATAAATTATTATTATTATTATTGGGTTGAGTACGATAAAAATTTAAAATATTCATTATTCGACTTATAGAGTGTTAAGTTTTATTTGGATTAAATCAGGTGTGATTAAACATTTAAAGAATTCGATTCAATTTCATTCCATCAATTTGAATTATTTGGAATTCGCATATTATCTATATTGGCATCCAACCCTAGTTACCAACTAATAAAATATCATGTGATTCGGTTCACGTAACCACCCAATCTTTACTTTTTTATGATTCACGGAATCATAAAACGAAAGAGAAACTACGCCACTAAGAGGGAGCCTATCCATAAAGTATATATAGCAAACGTGCCCCGAGAGAATATTATATGACGCGTATTATATGACGCATCTTACCGAATAATGCATTATAACTTAATATCATGCATATATTAAATTTTATTAAAATTAAATAATTTAAATATAATCAAAATATTTATATTTTAATATATTTAAATAAATAAATAAATATATATATATATATATATTACGTTAATTTTATTTTATAAGAATAAAGTATCAAAT